AAAAAAAAAAAAAAAAAAAGAGGAAAAGAGAGCGATGAGGATGAGGATGAGGAAATATGGAGTATCTCCAATCTTGTTTTTGGTGTTGCGATGGATGGATGGATGGGCGGATTACGTTTGAGTGACAAACCCCGCTGTACCATCAGTCAGGTCAAGTCAGGGAAGGTACCCCGGGGGAGGGAGGGGCAGTCATTGTCCGGCGCATCCCGTCCATGTGCCTCTTAATAATTTCCATGTTTACCAAGACTCCATACCTAAATTAGATGGCAGTTGTAATCCAGTGACTGGAGACTGCTTGATGTTTGTAATGGCTGACAGTGGGTAACAACTGAAGGTATGTCCGATAATGCAGCTTCTTGGAGAGTTCATTCAGAGCTCGAACAAGCAAGTTGACCGCTTATAGAATGCTGATGGGGAATATTAGGTATCTAGTAGGTACTAATGTAGATGCTTTGATATCGGATGGGTTGAATATACAGCCATTTGTAGCTTCCATTCTCTTCAATCAGCTCAGGTGCCTGCCTCGACAGACTCGAGCTCCATCTCATCTGTATCAAACTTTCCAATCTTCCTAGAACTCTACCTGTCATACCCAGGTTTATCCCTTAAAGTGCTTACCTATCTAAGTAGACCTCCTGTGGATATTAAAACAATGCCATCAAGGACAAAATCGCTTCTCCTGTGACATCAGCGAAACTTGACTCCCCCGCGATGCCCCTCCCTGCTGTAGCTTCAGCTGCATCTTGCTTAGTCAGAATCGTCACTAATCCTATCCCTATACCATTACTAAAGATCCACCCGGCGGTCGCCCCCATCAATCTCCGCGATGCCGACAATTCTTCCTCCGTAGTCCGGCACCGGTCCGTCGCCGAAGTTCACCAAGATCCGCCGTCGCCAACTCTTCCAATCGAACTCGATATTATCTCTCCCATACTCGAATCACCATCTGTACCTCCGCCGTCACGACGTAGGTCAGGCTCAACAGTGTCCATAACTTCGACAACAAGTTCGGTCTCTTCAAGCTACTCGCCTCGACAGCGTAAAGAGCTTTCAAAGCAGGTCTGGCGGCAGTATTGGTGACATCAGTGTCCGTATCACGCGAGACAGCCTACAATTCAATATACAATGGCTGTTCATCAGTGGACACGGCAGGAAAAGTTCAAACGTGGTGTCTGGGCTGTTGCCTTTGCAGCATGCATTTTTGCCGGAACCATCACCGGCGCACAGCTTAAGACGGATAACGAGAAGAAGGAGGTAGGGAATTACGCATCACCCTCCTATGAATTACTACTAATAATTTATATAGGCCATTCATGAATTTCGCGCGACCTCACCCAACGAGCAAATCGCTGCCTTGCTTTCTCAAAGAAAGTCTTTAGTTTCGCAAAAGGCAGTTTTACAAAGAAAAATCGATGCTTTCGACCTTCGTGTCAAAGAACGCGAAGCTGAAAAAGCAAGAAAAGACAGCGACTCATCATAGCGACAACCTTTGAGTTGATGCTGTTGTACTATCTATCATCTTATAACCCTTACGAATATTGCATTAGAGCCTGGGTACAGGTGTTGGCGTTACTGGGTAGAAACGAGGAGTTGGTATCACTGGAGCAGAGGTTCGTGTGACCAGACATGAAAGATGAGCAAACATGGGCGTGCCAAACATTCTGTCGGTACACGAACAACGTTGGGAGTTATATCTTGTTAATCTGGTGTTCATTTGTTATGCTCTCCCTTACGCCGGGCTGATCATGTCATCTTCCTGTCCTGTTGACTCGACAATTCCCCACCTGCCTGTGCACAGATAACGAGATTCTTCTATGTACATGTACGCCGTGATCGTCTATTCAATTCTCGTGCCTACTCCACAACACCCTCGGCAGAGGGCAAAGGGATGGCGCGGTAAAGGAGAATTAGAGCCGAGTGAGACTCACCGCCGCCGGCAAGAGTGTCAATCTTCTCGGCTTCCACTTCTGTCACCTTGTCATCGTTGAACCACCACCATTTGCCATCCTCCTCACCCTTCTTGCCAGTCTTGGGGTCAACAGGGGCAGACTTCTTGACGTAAGAAGTGTAGTGCCCGCTGTCTGCGCTAGCACCTTGATGTGTTACAACACCTCTGAGTTCGTAAAGACCAGACTGGTTTGCGCCATCGTCGTTGCGTAGGTCGGGGTTGATAAGTGCATTTAGCTCCTTCTTGGCCTCGATAATAGAAGCGTTTCTCTCAGCCTCGATATCGGCATCCGTTTTGTACGTCTCGCCCTCCTCACCCATGACGGTGTCTCCATCCGCTGATTTCTTGGCGTCCTCCTTCTTCTCAGCTTCCTTCTTCTCCTTCTCGGTAGGGAGACCAGCACCGCCGGGAATATCGCCAACGTCTTGGTCGTGCGTCTTCTTACGTCGCTTGCGAGCACGCTCAATATCCTCCTCGTCCTTGCGAATCTCGCGAACCTTGTCGCGCACAGGAATGAGAGCGTTCTTCAGCTCATCAGAACAGAACTCCACAATATCGAGCTCCTTTGGGAAAGTGACCTTTCGCATAATCTTAGCCTTTTTCTGCGTCTCGCGCTTCCAGAAGAAGCGCACAAAGTGCACAGTCAAGTATTTAGGAGCACGGGAAATCTTGGAAGTCTTGGTGTAGATGGCATCGCGGCCTAGAACGTCTGACTTTTTCTCAATCTTTTCCTTCAGTGCGGCAAGAATACCGTCTCGCAGATGGTTCGTAGAGCTGTCGATGTGGCAGTTGAGCTTGGCGAAGCCCTCTTTGTTAATGATGGGCTGTTCGCCCCCGCTACGAGCTTCTTCCTCATCGCACTCCATTACCGAAGAGAATTCACCGGACATGTACTTTTCCACAAAGGATGACTCGGACGTGCTTTCGCCACCCGTGATTCGGAGCTTCTGGTTAAGTTGCTGCACAATCTGTGACCAAGCCTCCTCTGCATCCTGCTGGGCATATCCTTGTCCTGTCTTGGACTTTTCCGCGAATTGAGGGAACACGGCTCGTAGAGCGCCCAGGAAGTTCATGGGAGGAAAAGAATCTTGTGTTTCTCCCATCTTCTTGTAGAGGTTGGAAAGTTGAGACGCAAGGTCCATGTTGGGGCCTGTCATGGCGAAGCTGCTGCTGCTGCCACTACTGGGACTGTACTTGACTAGAGCATCTTGAAGTTCGGGGATCAAGCGAAGAGTCTGAAGGGTTGAATTAAGATAGCATGTGTTTCCGAGGTTGATGAGACCAGCGGGGGTCGCACCAACTTGCTGGGCTTGCTCGGCCTCGGTCATGTCCTCGACAAACTTGATGGCCTCCTTTGGTCGGACAAGGTCGCCACCTCCTGCACTTGGAGTGCCCATCATCATGATGACCTGGCCAGGCTTCAGGCCGAGCTTGCTCATGTCGGCATCATCCTTGAGCTGGCCACCCTTGATCAAGATCTTTTGACGCTCAGGTTCCACATTGGTTAAGCTGAACATCTGGAGCTTGAAGTCCTCGCCTGTGGAGTTGGGGTCGACCTCGACATCGTGTTTTTTGCCCTGGTGTTTTACCACGACTGGCGGAGGTTAGCAGTTGTTTCTGCAACGGAGTTGTCGAGGTGCGGCGCAGAGTAATAACTGACCTGAAATGGTCGACATGGTTCTGGTTGACCGGAGCTTGAGTTCGAGGTGGGGTACAGTGAGATTGTGTCGTCGAGGAAAGATGACGCCGTCTATTCGCCCTGCCTTCACAGATACCAGGGTTAAAAACAGAGATTGAAATGAGAGAAGGAAGACGAAGGATCAAGATGTCATTCCCGTGCTCGAATGTGTCGTTTGTAAGGGACGAGGCGTAGAAGATGCTAGAGGTGCGTCACCGAGTGGTACCTGGAGGAAGGCAAATCGTTAGTGGGGAAAGCGGTGTGCTTCGAGCTGTGGCTAGAGACGAGACAAAGCCACAGAGAGCTCTTGAGGACCAAGCTCTCTCCAAGGTTATCCGTACCTACCCCATCACAGACGGCCCCACCGGAGAGGGAGACGTCAGGCATTAGGTAGGTAGCGACGCCTCATTAACAACTGCGCCTCACGTCGTTGAAGCTCCAACCTCCAACGTCAACATCAACGTCGACCGACCCCGCCGAACTCCGTATTCTCCGTCAACATCTCGATACGTGTTTCTATCGGACAGTTTAGGCCGTCCTAGGACGTGTTTCTCGCCATGGTACAACCTCATCGCCCTCTTACGGACCTGACCGCAAGCTGACAGCTATCCCCCGCTTAGTCTCAATCCCTCCGACCTTACCTGCAATGCGTACGCAGCAGCTTGACCGCCGCGCTCACCCTATCCAACTTTGCTTCTCAAACTGCCGAGAGACACAATGTCCCGGAGATTGAGGCACAGACATCCCCAGAGGTCCTCTTGCAGCCATTGACAATTGCGCGAAACGAGAACGAGCGTGTCTTAATCGAGCCCAGTATCAACTCTGTTCGCATCAGCATCAAGATCAAGCAAGCCGACGAGATTGAGCATATATTGGTACACAAGTTTACAAGGTTCTTGACGCAACGTGCCGAGTCGTTCTTTATCCTGCGGAGGAAACCTATCAAGGTCAGTCATAGGTTCTACCATGTCATGCTATCAACGCACACCTGACTGACGCTTTTATAGGGCTATGACATTTCTTTCCTGATAACAAACTTCCACACCGAGGAAATGCTGAAGCACAAGCTTGTCGACTTCATCATCCAGTTTATGGAGGAGGTTGACAAGGAGATTTCCGAGATGAAGCTATTCGTGAGTATCTCGGACCGTAGTGTAATATCCACTGATACTGACCTAACTCCAGTTGAACGCTCGAGCACGATTCGTAGCCGAGTCTTTCCTTACACCTGTGAGTACCTCGCTAATCAAAGCCGCAGCGGCTTCTTTAGACAATACTGACTATTAACAGTTCGACTAAATCTAAACCCCTCAGCTGGCTTGAGGCTTGGAGTTCGCTCCGGAGTAGCGGCTATCGCAACGCATCTAGGCTGGCAAAAGCTACCGACCATGACGGCATTGAACTGGAGAGATCCTGAAGCGAACTTCATGCTGTGGTGAGCAGGAAGGTTAAAGATAACGATATTACCTAGACATAAACATTACCGCCTGTACCGAATTGAAATGCGAATCTTTCTGGAAGCAACCATTAGTCTCATTGAAAAGAACCCCCCGTATAATTGGACAAGGTGCACAGGCAGTGGAGGTAAGCAATGCCTCTATTGAGGCCGACTGTTAATACAATCCTGTTATTGTGGGTAAAATAAAAGGCTGGATTGTCGGAAGGGGGCCTGCTTCGTTTTGAGCATCAACCCCTCCATTGTAGACCAAGTATCAATCCCTTAGCTATTGCAGTTTATCGACTGCGTCCATTATCATGACCGTAATTTTATCTGCATTTCTACTTTTGCTGCTTTTCCTCATATGTTATTGGTCACTGCTGAACTTATCGGTCCCATCGGCCAACTAATCACTGGCAATAAACTGCTATACCTTATCTTGTTTTCCAACACTGCCGATAACTGTCAATCACTGTTAGGAAATCCCGGGAGAGGAACTGCTTTGTTGCCTCGAGGAAACAATCGTTCGCTTCTTTCGCACTCCTGCTTCTTCTCTTCCCAACTCCCTCACAGCTCTCATCTTCCATCTTTAAACCCTCCGATCCAGAATCCAGTGCAGCTTTTGACTTCTCGAAAGCAGTCACTCGACTGGTTCAACCTTGTTCTTCTCAGTGCTGCTAACCTCTTGGCATCCGCCGCCTCTCTATCCTTCAACATCCCTACCCTTCTTTCAACCGCACAGATCCTCAGAGCTGCAACCTACAACCGTCACTATCTAGAATACCAGACTGTCACCGCAGACGGGCAACGGAGTGACCGTTGCGTGACCTCCACTGTTGACTTTACAGCCGCTTTCATCTGGTTGCCCCAATCATTCCTAGGTATCCCTCCCCATCCTCTCACGCATTTGCTATTTCTTCTTTCGTGTTGCAAATTTGAGATTTTCAGCATTTCAGCCTACCGCACTACAACGCTAACTTCGAGAAGCACTTCAGGTTCCTAAGCCAAGCGCTTCTTCCCGTTCTTCAAGTCTTAAGCTTTCCTTCCCCTTTCTTCTCACTTTTATTGCCCTGGCTCTCTTTCTGATTTTGAGCTTCGAGACGTTGTGATCATCAGAGACACACGTCTTAGACGCAGCCGAGGCACTGCACCAAAAACCCCCTACTCGTCATCTTGTTAGCTCCTTTGAGTTGTCTTCACCCTACGCTGTGATCGCTTTATTGCTGCATTCACCTCTGCGAATGCTCTGATCGTTGAGAAGTTATCAACTGTTTCCCCGATTCTCTCTCTTTTCTCCCTCTACAAATACTTCTAGCCGTTGGGGTTTAAGCACTTGGTTCAGTCTCAACCTCAAACTCGAGGCAAACAGTTTGCCCAAGCACCAAATCAAAACACAGGTCCAGTTTACACACCGTCTTGTGTTTTTAATCATATTAGATATTTGAGGGTAAATTGTGTTCATGGTAAGTTCCTGAACATCCTAGTCAACGTCGACAGTTTGTTGATAACATATCCATTTCTAGCACTGAGACTCGGACATGTCGTATCACTCTGAACAGTTCTTGGGTCAGTCCAACACACACTATCCTCAGATGGTTCAAGGAAGTTTCGTCGCCCAGCATCCGGGCCCCCTTTCTTCCAATCCGCCTTTCGGAACCGCTTCTTTCCACCACAGGCCTGGTCAGCCTCCACACACTTCTGGCTGGAACAATCTCGAGTCTTCTATGCAGGCGAACCTCAACTCGGACTCATGGATGCCCTCGGCTCACCAGTTCCTCAACAATACCCTCCAGGCTAGTGGGTTTGGTGATGTGCAAGCTGGTACGGAAACAATGGGCAAGCTCTCCCATGATGATGGAACTGTATCTAGTATCCTCGAGCCACCCGTTGCACCCCCAAATAGTCCTGCGCAGGGTAATTCCCACCTCGCTATCCCGGTTATGCCGCTCAACTCATGTGCTGTGGTCCCTTAGATGGGAGGCCAAGCTCAAGGTGCCGGTAACCATACAGCCAATGGCAATGGAGTTGTCAACGGACCTGCCCCGGCTCCCATCAGCAACACTCAGTATTTTGTTGCCAATGGCTCTTCACAGGCAGTGCCAAGCGGATTCCCTCAAGGAATCGCTATCGTTTCGAACGGTAATTCTCAAGGCCTTGGGAGCTCGGGCATTGCTAACCGACTCCCCCACGGAGCTCAGCTTTATGTAAGTTTACAGTCGTCCTCAGAGTCTTATGAGAGATGCTTTAATGTACTTGTCGCTAACTTTGGGAAACTCTAGCCCAGTCGACCCGTCCAGAACACTAGTTCTCAATGTGTTGAACCGACTGGCCTAATGTCGCCTCCCCACGGTCACAGTTCGACACTCCAGCCCGGAAGCCAACATTCTGCTCGTCCCCAGGCTGCCACTGGCGCTCAGCAGTTCTACACTCCTGTTCCGCCCTCCCAAAACCCAAATGTTTCTGGCCTGCCTCAGAGTGTCTCTTTTCACTCTGGCCTCTCCCTGATGAGTCCCATTAACACTCCTCACCATCTAAGCGGCGAACGCATGAATGGTTCGATCTCTACCCCCACTTCGGGTCCCAATCACCATCTCACTGAACCGCGTAACTACGCGCCTCGAACATCTGGACAACCAGTTGATAGTCTGCCTCCTCCGCGATTCAACTTGGATTTGCAGACCATCCCCGGCGCTCACCATGTCTCACCTCGAGACCCGTTTGGAAGCCCTGAGCGTGTTGAGCCGAGTGCCTTGATTCCATTCCCAAACCTGCCTCCCCCTGCTGTCCAGCAAGCCATGCTCACCGGTGCGATCTCAGCGCCATTGACCGGCAACAAATCTCACACGCTATGTGAGCTGACAGGCACCTATTCAGGTCTACCCACTCTGGAAACTGCTATGAGCCCTGACTTTTTCCCATTCATGAGCGGCCCAGGATCTACCAAGCCATCTACTGCTGGCGTTGTTCGCCTCAAGAATGTAAGTTCTCTTTACCATCCTGGTGTTAAGTCTGTTTTAATCTTTCTAGATACCGTTTTCTACCAAACGTTCCGAAGTTGTTGCCTTCATTGGCCGCAATAGCCGCATGCTGAACGATGGTGACGAGCCCATCCACATCATCATGGACCGGGCCACGTCCAAGACCATGGATGCCTTTGTGGAATTTGTGACAATGGAGGATGCTATGCGTTGTGCCGAGAAGCACCACCAGTATACTCAGGTTGGCCGTATCAGCCGTTTGGGTGAACGACCTGTCGAGGTTGAGTTGTCGAGCCAAGCTGCTCTTATGCAGGAGCTCTTCCCTCTTGCTCGTGGCGTTTTCTGGGATGGCGCCAACCCTCAGGTCCTCCCCACCAACAACAACGAGCCTTGGGTTAACTTCAAGGGCTTCATCTCTCCTGAGGAGATGGTGATGCTTGTCAAACATGTAGAAGTTCCCCATCGATCGCCTTTCTCCAAGGAGTGTCCCCAACGCCCCTATGAGTGCCTCATCAGCACGCTGCGCAAGTTTCCTTGGTATTCTTCGGACCACGTCACGATTGCTCAGCGTGGTGCTATGTATAAGGCTACTACCAAGCTTATTCGATTGCTCAGCCGATCCGTTTCACAGCAGGATGACCCCGTCAACCTTAATACTCAGCTGTTTCAGCGTGTAGTGCGAACTGCAATGGATTGCAAGGGTTTTACGATCCTTCAGAAAGACAACATTGCATTCATGGTCCAGATGGACCCTACGGAGCAGCAGCGTCGTCACGGTCAGCCTGCAAATGCCAACTCCTGGGTTCACCAGTATGCCATCGCAAGCAAACCAGATACACCTCTCGATCTTGTTGACTGGTACATTCGCCTGATTCGTGAGCAGACTACTCGTGACATCCTTGTCCGTCCCATCCACGAACGTACCTCGATCCAAGAGACGCTTAAGGATACCGATGACTATTGGGGCTACTTCTACTATGAGATTAGCTATGTCCAGGGGCCTCAGTTCGACGAAATGTCTTTGGGCCACTGCGCCTACCTCGAGCTTTCTGCCATCGAGCGAATTCTGGGCCGTGCTCTCGGTTACAACTAAGTGATGAGCATCTGGTAGCGCAGTTCTTCTAGCCGACTTCATCTCGCTTTTTCTTGTCTCCATTTCGGGGTTTCTTTTTGTATCTCAGCATTTCGCTGCATCTGTCAAGCAGGTGACAGAAAACGCTGGCTCTTTTCCATACCCAAGACCTCACAGATAAAGGCGTTGAGGTGTCTCGGATCATTACCTCGTCCGCTATTGCTTGGGACTCACTCGGGATTTTGTTCACTCACTTTTCGGGGCCAAGGCTAGTGACCCGAGGAAGACAGGAGGAAGAAGAGCTTGCGCACTAAACACGATTGATTGACTTGATTTCAGGCGAGGGTGGATGGCTGCCAGGTCTAATAAAAAGGAGCACTGGCATAATTTGGAAGGTTAGGTAGTTTGGGCTTGTTGCTTGTATTTTCTGGTAATTCTGCGTGCTACAGGAAAGAATAAAGAGAAAATAGAAAAGCTCGGGCTCCTAGAAGAAATTGAGTGATGTGTGCTCTTGCCGTGGATATCACCGTTCAATGCCTGTAGCTACTACCTATCTGAGACACCTACCAACTGTCGTCTTATCAGATAGGTAATAAGGTACAGTAGTCTAACTAACTGTGGGTGTGTGCATAAAGATTGATTGATTGAGATCCATGGATGGATGCTAGGGTCTAGGACTCTCGCTCCCTACTGGCAGATGCGGCCTTAGTGCTGGAAGCGACCCCTGACTTAGAGCTCATCATGCTCCATGTGGGCGAGTTTAATTATCATCCAATCAGAGGGTGCATCAAATGCTGTAACGGCAGTCATCTCCACTTGCCGAAACGACACACTGACGCGGGTCCCACCTACCCTTGGCTTCAGGTTCCATAAGGCAAGTAGGCAAGCATGGAATGGGCTGGACCCGACTGATTGCGCTGTGCTGTGCTGGTAATAAAAAGCTGTACTGTACTGTACAAAAGTGAGGCTGGAATCCATAGTATCTACGAATTTACCTACGCATTAGACAGGACTTGCTTCTCCAACGGTCTTGTCTCCCTTAATAATACGCCACATTCTTACCTACCTCAGTATTGTACCTGCCCATTTACTCTCATCTTGGTCCATTGTGTGTGTACCTTGCTAGAGCTCGGTTCCTTTCTGAACAAACCAGTCCATCGAAAGGAGTTTCATTTTCCCGTGTTTGTTCCCCCCTTGTTTATTGTACCTACGCGACAACTCTTCCCGTTGCCGGCTCGCTCGCTTGACTTCTCATTCTCTGCCAAAACAAATCTTTTTCAGGACCCGCGTCAGACAGGACTCGTCAAGTCAGGTTCATAAACAAACACCCGGCAATTCCTCGCACTTTACAGACCTCGATACTCACTGAAACTAGTCGGACTGGTCATATCATCGTAACCTACTTAACTCATCACCGCATCGCACACAATCATGGTTGCTGAGCAGGATAAGAAGGGTGCCGTTGCCGTTCCTGCAGAAACCCCTGCAGCTCCCGCTGTGACCCAGCCCACCACTGAGGCCACTGCAAAAGCTGCTCCTGAGACGCCTCTGACCAAGCTTAATGGTCGCCTCGACGACATCTGCGGCAAGGCGCAACACGGGGAGATGTGGGGAGTTCAACTGTCCAACATCGACCATGTCCCTACCATGGTTGTCCTCCAGAAATTCCTGAGGGCCAACAACGATGATCCTGTCGCCGCTGAGAAGCAGCTTACTCAGGCTCTCGAGTGGCGCAAGAAGATGAACCCTACTGCATTGGTCACTCAGACCTTTGATAAGGACAAGTTCAACGATCTAGGCTTTGTCACAGTGCACAATGGCGAGAACGACAAGGAGACCGTCATTACGTGGAACATTTACGGTGCTGTCAAAAACAACAAGGTTACTTTTGGAAACGTCGAGGAGTAAGTGTCTATCCAACTCTACGTGAGAGTTTGGCTAACCATGCGTCAGATTTATCAAGTGGCGCGCTGCCATCATGGAGCTCAGTGTCCAGAAGCTTAAACTGGACGAGGTCACGGAGCCCATCCCTGAGGGAGGCGAGGATCCTTATCGAATGATTCAAGTTCATGACTACCTTAATGTCAGCTTTTTCCGCATGGATCCCGCCGTGAAGGCTGCTAGCAAGGAGACAATCTCCGTCTTCTCCATGGCGTACCCAGAGCTGCTCGCCCATAAGTACTTTGTCAACGTTCCTGCCATTATGGGATGGATGTTCGGCGCCATGAAGCTCTTCCTTGCCCCTGCCACCCTTCGGAAATTCCACCCAATGACCTCTGGCACCACTCTAGCTACAGAACTGAAGACAATTGTTCCTTCTTTGCCTAAAGAGTACGGCGGCCTTGGGCCCAGTGTCAAGGAGGGCCAAACCGTTTTGCTAGCTGATACCCATGAGGCTAGCGAGACCTCCACCAAATCTGCTGCGGCCGAGCCTGCTCCCATTGCCACTCACTCCACCAGTGCCGCCGGTGAGGCTCCCATCATCACTGAAACTACTCCCGCTACAGAAAACATCATAGTTGCCGAGCCAGTGGTACCTTGTGAGCCGACTGCCTCTTCATCAGCTCCTACTACTGTGGAGGCCATTCCTGCACCAGTTCCCGCCCCTGTTGAGGCTGCCAAGGAAGAGACTGCAGGAAAGGCTGTTGAGCAAGCTGGTGAGAAGCCTATTGAGGAAGCTCTCGAGAAGCTTGCAGTCAACCCAAATGAAGAGGCTGGGGAAAAGGGGGCTCATACCGCTGCCACCCAGGTCGAGGACAAGAAGGAGAGCAGTGCTTGAGTGACTGCACACGAGAAGAAGAACGAGAGGATGGAGTGGAATACAACAAGCAGCTATGAGATCCTATACCATTAATAATACCCCTCAGCTGCTGGGCGCTACCCTAATGTGCGAAGTGTTGTCTCGGAGATGTTCTATTCTAGATTAGATTGGGAGTCGAGACATAGATTCTATTCACGACAAGAAATGATACCTTATTCCTATGGCACTCGACGAGGTTATATCATGCAGTGAATTCATGAGTTCTGAAGGAACTTTGGTCTCACAGTAGTCTTGTCGACGCCGTGGCGGCAGGTGGGTAACAGATGAATTGTCCCCTAAGGCTTCAGGTACTCAAATAAGGTAGCCTAAATGCTCTTCTAAGCTCGCATAAGGTAAACAAATCATTTCGTCTCTTATGCTCTCGGTGGCCAATTCTTCTGGCATCCTGATGGGCGGCCCTCGGGATACGGTGAGCTTTGCCCTCGGAGACATACCTGGTCGGTGAATGCCGTGCTTGATATCGTGAGCATTGCAAATCAAAAAGTAACATATACACTGCATAGAGGCTCTGGCAAGTCCTGAGTGGGAAGTGGACGGAGGAAATGTTTGAGTGGGTTTCAGCGTGGAGGTTGCGCAGGTGAAGGCTAGTCTTGGTTCAGTGATGATATATTTGACTTTATCGTCATTTAGGAAGCGTCGCAATCAGTTGAATATGGAACAAGTCTCACAGTGGAAAATGTAGGCAGGTTATAATTGGCTCAGGCGATATGTAGTATGGTTACAACACATACGCACGATTGTCTTGGCTGGACCTGAAGTTTCGAGGGACTGAGACCTAGATATAGAGCTCATAACAGAGGGAACCTTGGGTTACTAATATCCCAGATCCGGATATACCTCTATTAGATAAACCTAGATGGTTAGAAAGGAGCGAGAGTTGCAAGAGAATAGAAAGAATTCTAGACATTCGTTAGCAGTACTGTTTGTGTTGCTGCAAGGGAGTGTGAGTGTCATCTGGCGGATGAGAGGACCATTGGTGCAACACAAGACAAGATGCCAAGCCATAAAGGTGTTGGCATTGACGCGGTTCTAATCTCCATGTGATTTTCGAGGACTCAACTATCAAGAAGTTCATGTAAATGCACCGCGAGCTTGCAAACTCTTCCCTGTGGCGGCTAGTGCTGGTGCTTGAGAGTCCGTGAGAACCTCAGTACCCGCCCTTTTTGGAGGTAACTCGCGCTCTGGCCCCTGAGCAATGCAACATCACTCGCAGGAAACTTGCCCAACAATAATTATTTTATTCTAGAAATGAATACTATAATCTGGATAGGCTATGAATAATGCTTCTTTGTTCGACAATCACGTCTGTGCTGGCATGTGCCACTTATAACCTGTTGGTAGCCGAGCCGTTGGGTCAACGAGGTTATATCATGAGAGTGGAGGCGGACAAAGGAAACTATGAACTGATACATTGGGGCCTCGGATTGCCATTGTTCCTCTAGTTGTAGTAATTAAACCTTTCTGCATTGGTTTCTGGGAAATGCAGTGATATCTGAGTCAGATATCGTCAAGGCGTAAAGTGGCAAAGCAGCACAAGGCCAAAGGATATTCGAGACAGCATCTGTAACTCGAACAATGTCGAATTTGGATGAGTGCAATGGCTTTTTGGATACGGTCATGAGACTCGTTGCAATATTATCCGTACCATCGGCAGTTTTGCAAACGGATTGCATCTACAGTGGCCAAAGTAGTGTTGTGCATCTCGTCTCAGTCGGTCCATCTTTGGTTTCGGTCTAGGAAACTCGCGTTTACCTTGCCTCACCTTGAAAATCAGCCAGCCAGCCATGGCTGCCATGCTCATTCTCGCATCCAATTGTTGATTTTTTTTTTAACCCTCCTTGCCTCAACTCAACTCAACCCAGCCTAGCCTACCTTACCTACTCACCATAGTAAGAGGCGCGAACTCCCTTGTCCCCCCCAACCTCCAAATTCTCTCTCTTCCTCCTAACAACTTCACCTCAATACATTACCTTGCCTTACCTAGAGGTAGAGGGCATCTTCCGTGTATTGCACTCACGCACGAGGCTTTGTTCTCCACTGATAAACTCTTTATATCACCTTCAACTCTTTTTTTAACCCTCCTACCTTGCAACGCCCCTCATTCTATCGTGCTCTCTTGCTACCTACCTTACCTATTGTCTTACGCCCTGACCTGACCTGGTCTGGCCTGGCCTGGCCACTTATCCCACTTTTCCCCTACCTACCTACATCAACCAGACGACGCGACCTGGTCAACAACGGCGTCCGTTCAACTTATCTCCAACTTCCCATCAACTCAACTCTCGTCTATCCTAAGTTCTATCTCTGAAACACGTCTCCCTACCTCAATCTCAATAGTGATTCACTCTTGGTCACGTCTGTTGGAAAAGGTACAGTATAAATCTCTTCTTCTCTTCCGCTTCGTCTCTCCCTATTATATACCAGTGCCTTCCTTATACCAGCCCGAGTCCTCCTTCCTACACATCCATTATACTTGACACTCCTCATTTTCCCGTTTCGGTCGCCGAACTTGATTCTTCCTTCCTGCCTTCCTGCCTTCCTGCCTTCCTCACTATTGGAGTACGTACCAAGCCTCCTAGTCCTCGACCTTTGACCTGGTTCTTGCCTGCCCTGGACCAGTCTGGGTTGGACCGGCGCGCGCGGGGGGAAAGCACCATCCACTCGCACTCAACTTAGTCGCCCACTCTCTCCTTCCCAATCCCACTCTCATCTCTGAGCGCGCCGCGTTTACTTCTCACTTCATTTACCTCTCTACACACTCCATCCTTTACTTTTCTTACTTTTCTTCCAACAAAACCACCGATTACTTTTTCTCTCTTCTCTCTGTTTTACGTTTTTAATAATCCAGGATCTCCGTTTCTTACACTTTTATTTATTTATTTAGTTGACCCCGGATGATATTTTGTTGCTGAATATTTCGCGTCAAAGCCAGTCTATTACACTTGAGACGACCTCTCGTTCCGCCACTATGGCATTCGTCTTGACCTCTGACGGCGCCTTTGAGGTCAGCGTCACAGACGATTCTTCCTCCAATGTCGCGTCAACCACCTCTACGCCACCCACTACCATTGCCGATGAAGCCAGCCTGCACTCCGAATCACCTAAGCGCGATGTCGTTCACGTTGCACTCGAGCCCGAGTCTCCTGAAGTCGCGACCACCCCATCCGACCCGATCGAACCTACGCAGTCCGCCAGCCTTGTTGATCTGCCGCCACCAGCCTCCGTGCGCTCTCGCCGCAGCCGCGTGAGCGCTCCTGTGTATAATTTGGTTCAATTGAGTGGTACAGCTGGCCACGGAAAGCGACGCGCCAAAGGCGACATTGTAGCGGACCGACGACGACGACGACGAACTGTTTCTGGCCCAGTTTTCCCCAATGATACTTCAGCAACTTCCAGCTCTGCTCAGGGTGCTACGCCCGAAACCATCCGAAGTGGTATTGACGCGCTCGGAGTTACACAGTCGGCCAGTAAACTCGATTCTCCGCGCACTCGTCGTCAAAGAATCTTGGAGGATGATTTGCCAAGTAGGCGTCCTTCAACGCGTCGCTCTAGTGCCATTGTTCCTGCTGTAGTTACGCCCGTCAACAAAAAGTCCAAAGTCACTAAGCGCAGCCGCAAGTCTGTGGACAAGGCTGAGACGCCAATGTCACGCGAGCTCAGACGCTTGCAGGATACGAAAGAGTTTTCCCATATTGATGAGAGACCCGTGATTCAGAGTGTTTGGTCTAATGGAAAGTTTGTTGACCCCAAAGCCCCTGCACTACAATCGAAAAAGAAGCCAGAGCCAGAGCCAGCCACCGAGGAGCCCAAGGAAGCCGAGCCCGAACTTATTAGCAGGCCGAGGAAGCGAAGAGTGAAGAAGTTTCTCGACAAAGGTCTTTACGCAGGCCAGGATGCCCCCATTGACATATCTAAGGGATTGACTGTGACGGAGAAGAAAAGTCTTGCTCAGCTGCCCGGGCTGATCCCCAGCGGCCGTGTCAACAAGACGATGCCCATGCCGATGTTCAATGGTCTGCGCCTGCTTATTGAAGGTCGCGACTTCAAACTTCCTTACCAAGTCTGCAACCCTCTTCCCCCGGGTCAACCCAAACCCGACGAATGGAAAAAGATGACAAAGAGTAAGTTTAATAATAAGACCACGAAAGTCGATGCTAATATACTCCAGATCGGTTCATTGGTGAATCTAAGGACTACTGGAGAAAGTCGCCCCACTTCCACGATTACTCTTCCAAGTGTGTCTGTAAGCCAGAAGATGGCTGCGGCGAGAGCTGCCAAAACAGAATTATGCTGTATGAATGTGATGAGCAGAACTGCAACGCTGGCAAGCAGTATTGCACCAATCGTGCATTTGCCACTTTGACGGCACGTCGCAACCGTGGTGGGAAGTATCGAGTCGGTGTTGAGGTAATCAAGACCTCTGACCGCGGATATGGTGTACGAAGCAACCGATGCTTCAGACCAAACCAGATCATCATGGAGTACGCTGGAGAAATCATCACTGAAGAGGAGTGTGAGCGTCGTATGACGGAGGTCTACAAAGACAACGAGGTGAGTTTCTCGATTGTTCCTCAATTATGATTGGACCGTTATACTGACTACGCAAAGTGCTACTATCTCATGAGCTTCGATCAAAACATGATCATAGATGCCACCACAGGAAGCATCGCGCGTTTCGTGAATCACAGTTGCAACCCAAATTGCAGAATGATTAAATGGATCGTTTCCGGACAGCCGCGAATGGCCCTGTTTGCTGGCGACAAACCCATCATGACAGGCGATGAGCTGACATACGATTACAACTTCGATCCTTTTTCGGCGAAGAATGTTCAGAAATGTCTTTGCGGCGAACCTAACTGCCGCGGTGTCCTTGGCCCAAAGCCTCGAGAGGTCAAGCAGCCTAAGACGGACCTCAAGAACGCGGTCAAGGGTGCTGTGAAAGCAGGCAAACGCAAGCTCAAGGAGTTGATTGGGGACGAGGGCGATAGCAGCAACAATGCTAAAAAGCGCAAGGTTCAGCCTGCAAAGGGGGTGAAGCGAGCCATATCGGATGCTGGCTCCAAGGTTGCCAAGGGTGCAGCGACTGCTATCAAGAAAGGTGTTTCTACGGTTACATCCACCGCGAAGAAGGCAGCCCTGGGCTCCAAATCGCCCGCAAAGCGACGTGTCTCAACCGGAGCGATTCTTAAGAAGACGACGACGAAGCGTGTTATCCAGACCTACTCGCGCACACCTCAGAAGCGAGTATCAGGGCGAGCATCGGGTGTTGGTCTTGTCGCAGCAAGCAGAGCAAAGGGTGCTTCAGTGACAAAGGTGACCAAGTCTTCTACTAAGACATCTGCCAGTATCAGAAAGGCCTCTTCTCGAAACACGGCGCCTCGAAAGGCGTTGGATATCTCCCGGGAAGCTGAGATTTTGGTGGCAGCTGATGATTAAAGGATTGATAAGAGATGACGACGACGGAGATTTACGTTTGCAAATAAACGAGGCATTCTGACGGACCTGGATTGCTGTTTTGGGCCAGGCCACGAACCAGGAATAGGGAGTGTCAGAGGAGAATATGGATTTCGGATTTGCTGCGCTTTTTCCGCGCAGTTGGCATTAGTACTACTTTTTATATCTGCGGGCGCCAAGGCGTACAAAGGAGGTCTGGCATTGTACAGTATAAGGAATTGGTTGGTTGGTTGGCTGGCTGTTTTGAACATGTGCAACCTTGCTTATTTAGTTTTATGCCTTCTTGTCAATCAAGTACTGTAATGATGGTTACGTGTATTATTCACTGTGGCCATGGTGTTGTGGGAGAAATGATCTATGAATGGCCGAGGCGCCGTTTGCATATGACCTCGCCATGAATTTTCATGTTTTCGTACGGCCACTCCCTCGTATCTTTTGACAGGGGGAGCAGGGCGGAAATCAGGTAGAAGAAGTAACTAAATTCTCGCTGTTCTTACTCAACATTGATCAAAACTGTAATGAAATGAGACATGGTTGGACTCGAATGTGCAATGCCTACCTAGGTATGTACATACATAATAGGAAGGATGTCAAGATTTGATGATATCAAGACTCGCTGATACTGCATTTGCCTTATTGTGGCTACGGGTTTGATTATGGGTATACTTTGTTATATCTGGGAGAAAACAAGTGGACATACTATTTGGAATAGATAAAAGATTGACTGCCTAGGACAAATTTCCGGCTTATGTCGTGTTGTGTCATACTGTGTGTTCCCCCCTAGCTGGGTACAGACCGGCATGCGCCTGGGAACTGAGCAGCAGTCAACAGCAGTGATTGGAAACTTCGGTGACAGGACTGAGAATATTATGCCCAGAAACGGCAGGAGAAACGCGAGAAGAGAGGAAGAGGCCGGGAAGAGAAACTCCCTAGCTGCCCATATAGGAAGGCGGCTGTCTCAGGACGTGATGAGGTGAGATAGCACAACCACCATCTGCCTTCCATTTTACCCACGATAGCCACCAGAATTCTGTGCTTACGTTCTAGAAGACAAATTCGCTCTGAAGATATGTCGCGTACAATGCAAGGCTCTGCTCGATTGAAAGTAAACTTGAAAGTAACGATGACTGTGTGAGGACGTCCAGTTCAGCTTAGCCAATGACGGGCACACAGAAACTTTTTTCTTATCCCCATGTAAGGCTCCCGTCTTGTCTGAAGACATATCTCCTTATACCATTTCTCCGTTCTAGGACTGCCGCCTTGTGTACGTCTGTCCCTCCGGCTACTAACTATCCCATACTTGCACAAAGTCGGGCCCTGTAAATCACACGCTCTTCTCATCAATTGCTATTTCCTCTCTCTCCATTTCCAGGGCTACCATGTAATTGAATTGGCAAGGTAGTAGAAGAAGGCGTCGATTCCTAAGAACAGCGAAACTTTAGGAGCCTTGAACATGATTCATAGTACTAGTGATAGTATTGTAAGTCTATATGTAAGTGGGAATAGGAAACAAGAGCCAGGCGAGAGCCAAACGATCTGGATCAAAAGACGAAACAAGAAGAAATCTAAGAACAAGAAAGAGGGTAACATATGGTGGTAAAACACAAAAAGAAGGTAAAGCAGATAACACAATATGAAGCAATACATAAGACAAGCATGTGTGGAGCAAAGAAAAGACATATCCAGCAACATCAGGGCCAAAACCCGAAGACAATTTTGCCAAGGCAAAGAAGGATTGGGGGACGAAAAGAAGACCAAGTACAACATGTACAATCGTGGCGATCCAGCGTATTGCCTTTGAGATGCAGGCATGTATCCCAGATCGATGAGCCGTTATTCATCGTTTTCTCTAAATGCCATGATACCCAGTCGTGCTGTATGTTGCGAATCGACAGACATTGAACTTGTCTCGTGAGAGAGAAAATCGCTGTGCTGGTTCTCTCCACATAAGGACAATATGAGGTCTCCGTAAGACTTGCTTCCATCAGGTGGTTCTCACCGCTTCCATGTTTCTTAATAGCCTTGACGTCGGTGTGGTATGCGCATCAGCAGGATGGTTATCCCTTGACAGAGACAGCATAGACATGGCATGTCTGGGTATAGCGGGCCTGGCATGGGAAGTTTTGGCAAACTTTCCCGCAGACAAATGTGTTTTCGCCGTAGCAGTTGTCACATCTCCAAAATACGGCAGACATGATGAATGATGATTGATGAAAAGTGAAGAGTGGTTGTATTTTTTAAGGATGCAATCGCAGTCGATACTGTAGTGAAGATGTTGGTTGAACTCCAGAATCATGATTCCGAAGAACGATGACTTCTTATAGCCAGGTTTCTCATCTGGAGGATAGATGAGGCCTCATAAAGCAAATCGTGATTCACATACACGGCAGGTTGCACCAAGGGCAACCAAGCCTTACTTTTGGAAACCCCATAACCACATGGTGCACAATCTTCAACCCAAACTTTTGCGCAGAAGAACAATCTCAAGGCGCCAGGCATGTTGAAACGATTGTGATTGTGTGTAGACTGTGTCCATATGCCACGGCGAAGCCGATCAGTTCGAAGCTCCGAAAGGCAGGTCGATGATTGATTGATAGGGTGAGAATAGCCATTTCAAGGTGGAAGCTCTGCCTCAAATCAGCATGCTGAATCAAGGGATGGACCAGCAGCACTGAGTGCCCGGGTGTCGTCAGAAAGGTACACGAGTAGCGATAGGAGGAAGCTCTATCCAGTCGGAATGGCTCGAGGGATGAAAGATGGTCGTTACTAGAAGTGGGACTCTTTCGGTCCAAAGTTAATAATGATCCATGTTAACATGTCCAGTCTAATCACATAGTGAGATTGGGTTATGCTTAGAAGTTGTCTGGCTCTACAGCCATTGCTTGTCCAGATGTTGGGGATGATAACACAAAGTTAAACATCTATTACCTACTTTCAACCCATATGACCCTGGAATCGCCGGCTCGTGTTTCTGTGAATACCGTCAATGTACAATACCTACACTGAAGAGGTACGGAAAAGGCGTTGGTCTTTTCAACCCTGTGTTGCTAAGCCTCGGGTCTGTGATAATGTTGCATAGGTAGGTATTTGTTGTTCTCTTGAGTCGTTCGTTTGGTTGTAAGTGTACTTTTGGGTGTGCGTGCTTCAACAGAGCGGGGCATTCCTAAGAGCTAGTCATGGCTGAGCAGTCACTAACTCAACTCAGTCGCCCAGGACTAGGTTATCAGTGATGGATGGATGTGTATGTATCGTTTACCAAGATAGGTAGGTACATTCCACGCTTTGACAAAGACAAAGTAGCAGGGCGAAAGACGAAAGATGAAAGACCTTGGATGGAAAGAGTGCAGCAAAGAAATAAATGCTGAGCCATGAGATGAGGCTCTGCTCTGCCGTCATGGCCCGATATCGGCAGAAGTGCAACGCTGTGCCACTGCCACTACATGTCAGCATAAGGATTATGCATCTCATGTAAAAGGATATCACTCAACTGAAGATCATAATGCGATAAACCCATGGGGCTTCAGTAGGTATTGTCGGCATACCGGTACTTGGTAGGACTGATGCATGGGTCGCCAAAACAAGGCAGAATCCGCACATGTACTCGACGATGGTAAGGTCCCTAGGGAATGTCAAAGATTTCATCAAGGTAAAGATATTGTTACTCTTCTTAGTCCATATTATATAACCGTGGAGCTGTTGAAGCGGGGGGGAAATATCGTTGCTCTGGCGTCACGGTATTAGAACTTGACAATCGAGACCAGACGTAAAGACCAAAATAAATTGGCCGCTTTAGGCCAGTTCAAACCAGCATTTGGGCCGTTGGTTTCCGTCGCCCTGTAGAATATGGAAACCTGTTTCTGCTACCCAGTAGTCTGATTAGAAAGTGTTTGTAAGACCGAAGAGCTCATACAGTGTTTTGAAGAGCCAGTGCCCCCTAATGAGGAAGCGCTCGAATACAAAGCCATGGTGGTTTCTTCTTGCTCTCTACGGCTCAACTGGAACCGGAGAGTACCTTTGAGAGTCATGAGACACTTTTCGAGAAAGAGTATGGCGCTGTAAGGTAACGAAATGATCGAAACAGATGTCTCTGTCCAGGCCACCCAGAACTTGAAGACAAAAAACGGAAGAAAGCAAAGAGAACAACCGCAGTATTATCCAGAGGACATTCGGCAGGATTGATAAAGAGAGTAGAAGGTCGGCTGAACTTATATATCTATTCCAAGATTGCCTTGCTACACCCATCAGGCCATTCAGCCGCAATGTGACAGCCAGGAAGCCTGGTCGATATGCATAAGAGCGTAGAATTTGATAAAGGTGCAGCAAGTTGTGCAAGTATTGATAAGAAGCACATGATGGCCTCGAAGAACAACGATACTGTTTCTCCAGGCTGTGGGTTCTGATGCAGGTATCTGTGGTTGCATGTTTCGTTCAGCAAGATACCTCGGGGATGAAACCAGTTTATATTAAACATCGCACATACAATAGAGACAACTAATCTTTCCGCACAGGTATACTGTACGGTAGGTCTATCGTAGACGCATGCATAGGTCAGTAGGCAGGTTTCGAAGATAGTATGTCAAGAGAAGGTTCGGGAAGGAAAGATGACTGCGTTTAGCCATTGGTTATTTGGGTACTACCTACCCAGATACCAAGGAAAGATTGTCTGAAGATGCAAATACTTACCTAGTCTATAGTACATCGCATGAGGGAGGCGTGAATCGAGGTTGATACATAGAGCCTGAGGAAAGATGGGGTGTGGCTCGAGCTGTTCCAGAGGCTGGTTATGGATCATGATGCGCGGTTCAAGAACGACCTACCTACTGCCGCTTTTGCAATTCAGACTCGAACTAGCGCCTACTTGGGCAGTTTTCTCAGTACCTTAGCCTCCTTCTGTATCTCGGTAGGTACCTGCCTTACCTTGTTGGGACCTAAGTAGGCAGGCGGTACCCGAACATTAGGTAGGCTGTAAGCTCCCCTAGGTAGGATGGATATGCATAGATGTGGCCTTCTCCTATCAGTTACAATGCCACAATTGGATATCGCGGGCTCATATAGCTCAAGTACAATGTATTGATGTTGAAGGTCCAATCCCTGCTGCATTAGTACCTTAGTAGTTACTAATTGGCGAGGCCCCTGGTGCCCAGCACAATGGTTTGAGGTCCCTGCCTCACCCTTGCGAAACCTTAGTGGGAATAGAGGCATTGAGAATCAAGCTCATGTCATCAGTAAAACAGCCGCGAGTCAACGAAGTACTTATTGCAGCATTTCCTGTCTTTGGCAACGTCAGAGCATCACTAAAATAAGGTAGTGCCGAATATATAAGAGGTTAAGCACTTCTTTTGAAACTGAGGAGATGAGATTAGGGGTAGAGACTCGACCAATCTAGAAAAAGTGTTCTGAGAGGGTTTCATGTTACGAAAGACGACATATTATATAATAAAACATATGAACAACTTGGAGACCCCAAAACCACTGACTGAGTTGGTCTTACATGGAAGCGAGGCAGATTGGCAGTGAGCCCTAGCCAATTGTTTGAATTGAGGCGATGGCGAAGGCCTCAAACTCATACACAAATATCATAACAATAAAGAGCAATACTCAAAGCAAGGAATGGCATCGACGAGCTTCCGTTACTAAGCTTTGATGCTTAGAAAAAAGTCAAGTAAAAAGTTTTTCCATCTACTTGGCTGCGCTGTTGGTCGAGCAGTTCGGCTCAGTAGAGAGAGAGACATCAAGCCATATCAGAATTGAGAAGTGTGGCACAGCTATTGGGGCTGACATCTATCAAGACTTGTAGTTTTTGGCCTCGTTACACGAAAGATTACTTTGTAAAGAGCACTCGTACGGCGAAAGTTTATATAGCATGAATGGTACGGATAGATAGCACTGATATATGTCATTTTGTTCAAGTGGATGTAATACATGCTTTTCCAACTATGAACCTTCTGCTTGTCTTTGATGAGGTGACTGGTGCATGAATTACTGATAGTAGAAACGATGTTGATTATATTCGGACTCGTAAATAAGTTTGTATTTAACTATATGTTCCTTGCATCTAAGTTAAAGTTATGTCCAACCCGTGGAACGACTTTCAGATATGCGCTCAGTCAACGGAACTGTAGACGAGACGAGACTTCAAATCACTCAGCCTTGGTATATATACATATATATATTTATATGTCTTGGTCCTCTTCAATTGATTCTTCTTTCTTCATAAATAAACCCGCCTCTCTTCACCATCCTATCTTCCTCAGACTAGGTATCTAATATTCATCCATCCATTCATCCATCCCGTCGATACCAACTTCCATTCTTGGACATACCGTACCGTGCGAATTACGTACTGTACAACACTCTGATACCTAAATGAGCGCCGACACATTAGTGGCCCACTCGGGCTTGGCGTGTAATGCTATCATCAATGCGACGACGACAGCAAAAGATGAGAGCATTACTCGTCCACCACCAGTACTGACGCGCCCCCAGTCTTTACCTGCTACTTCTACAGAGGCGATAGATACCCACGCTCACGCGCTACCTGAACTAGCACACTCCTCGTCCCTGCCTGCTTCTATTGAACGGTCCGACACTCCCATCGACTCTGACAGCGCATCTGTCTGGACCATCGCCTGGAGCAATGAGATGCCAGGTCCGGCCACCAGCAAGCGCTGTGGTACGCGATGGATTGCGCGTCTGCTCCCTCCTATAATGCTGGCACTCGCAGGCTATGCAACATATGATGTTGTCGTCTATTGCTGTGGTATGTACTGTTCTTTCCCACAATCCCTTGCCAAAGCGTACTAATTAAACAACCAATAGTTCAGTACTTTCTTCAGCAGAAGGGCATGACAGCAACCGCGGTTGTTCTTATTGTTCTCTACATCGTCTTCCTCATACTCATGGTTGCGGCCTATATACGATGTTACGTAACCATTCAATTCAACACTGGCTTCGTGCCATGGACTGCCGAGAGGGAAGCGGCCGAGGAGGACCGAAACGGGCGATTGAGCAACGGCGGCGATGTCGAATCACTACAGTGGGCCCCTCCCGATACGAATCCCGACAGCCCTGGACTCGAGTCCTTCTACAGCAAAGATATATTCATATGCGAGAGTGACGGGATGCCCAAGTGGTGTTCCGAGTGTAGGAGCTGGAAGCCTGACCGAGCTCATCATTCGAGCGAGTACGGCCGTTGTGTCTACAAAATGGACCACGTATGCCCTTGGATGGGTGGTATCATCTCGGAAACTTGTGGGTTTCACCCACATAACGCAGTATGACATGGCTAACGCGTAAATAGCATTCAACTTCTTTATCCAATTCACATTCTACTGCGCATGCTTATGCATTATCATTGTGGCTTCCAACGCTTACGCCGTAAGTCTTCGCTTACAAGCCGCCTCGAGGGTGGATGCTCGAATTATCGTTGGGTTGGTTCTCAGTTCTTTGTTTGGCTTCTTTTCTGTCACTATGACTATCACGGCCTTGAGGTTCGCTTTCCAGAATATCACAAATGTCGACCTTTTCAGGAAGAACCAGACCTTCCGGTTAGCAGTGCGAGTCCCCACTGGCACACGATCAACAGACAAATTCACCACGATTACCTATCCCCTTTCTTTTCCTGGAGAGGATTCCAGAGCCCCAGGAACAGCCCATTCTAATGGCATCGACCAGTCCGATGGCGCTGGCTCTATCGCAACAAATCGAATAGCACCTAGAGACCAGCGAGCTAAACGCACATTCGCTATTCTACAGACGCAGTCTGGCGAGAACCCTTGGCACATTGGATACCTAGAGAACTTCAAGAGTGTCATGGGGGACTCCGTTCTTGAGTGGCTACTGCCTTTACGACATTCTCCATGCACTCGCCATGATAGCATGGTGAGTGATTACCAATTTGGCCCTCTTGTGGAGCAATTGAAGAAACGTTACGGATTGGTTGAGGGGGATCCTGAGAAGGTTGCAAACGAGACGACATCAAGTTAGATACCCGAAAGATTACAACGCTTGAAATGTAGAATACAAGTAAGAGACGGAAAGAGGCCAGGCAGTATACGTAATGTTTAAAAGGGGTGGATTTGGCTGACATGCCCAAGGTATTCAACTTATTATACTCTAAGCGCATAATTATTTTTCTTTTTCCACTGGTTCTATCGAAGGCCGATTTTGTGATATATAGACATAGGGCCAATCATCTCTTTCCTTTAAGTGACTCGGCAATGACCAAGTGTATGCTATGTCCGGCGCCTTCGAGACCACGCCCCCTAAACAAGCCGCCGTCAATTGACTTCTTCGAAGGAGCCCGAGCATCATATTGGCTACCTACCGAGGGTAGAACAGCAACAAGATAAGGCAGAAACAAAGACAAAAAGACTGAACATACAACACCGGGGGTTCGCTGGTCGTCACCGACCCA